CACTAAAGAGGACATGTTGTCAGCTGTCTTCAGGTAGCTTGTCATATTCACAGGCTTGATGTGTGACAATAGGTGAGGTTCCTCTCTAGCTCTTGGGCAGAGTGTGTGGATGGAGGCTTCTCAAGGACCCCGAGTTCGCTAGTAGGCTTGTTAAGGCCTATTAGGGAACTCAGGGTCCTGACAACATCGTTCCTTCCTGCTTGAGTTCACATACACAGTGCACAACCCTTTGTGTCTGCACTGTCTCACTGCAGAGAGCTCCCAGCCAATGAGCCTTGCAGGTATTTAACCACTGGCACCCACATTCCAGCATCATAAAATCAGGTTTGTAGGTTCTCTCTTCTTTTATAGTCAGACTTTAGGTCAGTATTTAAGGGTCATATCACTTCAATGTCCTACATCATTACTATTTTGTTCTCAGATCCTCTCCCAGTCTTGCAGAAACTGCTGCAAAACGGAATCTCTCCCACATGGATGCTGGCAGAGGAAGAGATAAGATGCATTGCCTAGAGCACAGCCACACAACCTTGAGGAGCAGGGGGAAGAAACAGTAGTCAAGCAGCAAACAATCTTTCAGCCTCCCTCCCCTACTACAAAGAAGCTTGTTCTTTTACCAAGGATGTCCCAGACAGTGTTAGGAGTATTTGCTAGACTACACAATGGGAGCTGCCAAGTGATTACACAAAATGCAGCAGGGAAGGTATAAAAGCGACATTCCATTTGTTACTGCTTCTGGCTTGAGAAAAACTCAAAATGTTAGAGCTATTTTATACACAAAATTAACACTATTAACATAATATCCCTAATAGCAGTACTAAGCGCACTTCTCGCCAGACCTCTGCCCACAAAAACCCATGTCCTGGACCCACATAACTAAGCAAACTAACTTTGCAGCTGCAGGCAGACTTGGCATTGAAGACATTCATCAGCAAGTGCTTCTACACTACAGTCCTCTTTTCAAACTCCAAAACCTCCCTTAGATCACATCTCTAACCTTCCTTTTTAATTAAAGGTGTGTTTAAGGCCAAGACAGAAACATTAATTACTACGCAATATCTGGATTTGTGAAGGAATTTCCCCAGTGAAAGAGCAATTATTACTGCAAAGGCCAGGGCCAAGTTACAGAAAGGCAATTGTCTTAGGCTTCCTTTCCTTGCTGAGGTGAAAGCAGTTTATGAGAGGAGAGAGCACCTTGCAGACTGTCTGATCTCTACTGGTAACTTAAGATTTCTCCATACAAAATATAAAATATTTTCAGAGAAATACATAGGTTATGTATTGTACTGTACAATGTTGTACACCTGTACATATTGTACGTATGTAACTTATAATATCAAATTCAAATACACAGAAAAATAACTGCGTGAAAACATGAAGAGCAGAAGAGAATTTTCTACATTTGAGCTCAAACTGACAGACTGAGTCAGCTTACCAGCAAGAGGAATTTCATTATTTCAAAACACACCTGGGCAAAGATGCTTGATATTTTAAATAGAGACTTAATTTCTAAAAGTGTTCTAAAACTCAAAGCAAGAATCATACACTGTCTATCTATACTTACTGGATGATGCAGACACAGAGTTCACTACCACTTAATGTCTGCAAAATTGTATGAGAACAGTAACAATAGGTTATTCCACAGAATATTAATTTATCTTTTATTCAGTATCTTATGTTGAGGACATGATGTAGCTACCATCAACCACACAGTAGCAATTACTGGTTTTCCACTGCTTTCCCTTTCTAATCCTCTAATAATTCCTCACAGGGGAAGTTAAGCATTTGCTCTTGCTTTATCTTTTACTGCCTTTAATAGAATTAGACACACACTTTCCTTTAGTTTCCCACAGATTTTGGAACTATAGTTTATACAAGTAGACCATTTTAGTACCATCAAGTATATACACATTTATGACACTAACTTCAGAAGGGCATCTTAGCTCATACCAATCTACTCAAACCGAGTAGAGATAGTAGAGATCAGCAATCTTTCATCCCTACTACTGATCTGAAAGACAAAGAAGGAAGTACTACCTATCTTTTTAAAGAACAGCACCACACAATCTTAGTAACTCATTTATGACCCTATATCACCATTAACAGAAATATTTAGGCAGTAAGGCTACCCAATAGAAGCAAAAGGAGAGCTGAACAATCCAAAATCTCAGTAAAACTGAGAAATAGTCCCCAAATTAACAAAGTTAAAACAGACAAGTGACCTGCAGAGCAGTTTTTAATGCAAGACTATTCTCTTCCTCTTCCTGATGGACTGTGTTTAGATAACAAAACAACCGTGTTCCATGCACTTCAGCACTTCCATTTTAAGCATAATTTATTAGTAACTGTGACTTTGGAAGATTTGGTGACCTGCAGAAGACTCCAGGAGGGAGCCAGACAGATTACCAAAACCCTGCTGACAGATTTATACAACATTCCACATACCACTTCAGCTTTTGCTGAAGCTGAATGGACACATTTGAAAATAATTTATCTGAAGGTCAGTATGATGATTTATATCTTGTCTTCTCTGTTGCAGTGTACTGCTATCTTATTCACATCTGCATCCCTATAAATATATTAGGGTCAATGCGTAAGTATATTAAAAATATAAAGCCCAAATATTGTTTAACCAAGTGAGATTTCCACATTTCTCCAAATCAATGGAGAAATGTAGAAGAACAGGAGAAATGAAAAAATAAAAGGTACACCATTTCCATATCAAAAGCTTTCATTTGAATGAGGTGTAGAACTTGAATTTGAATACAGTGTAGAACTGCACTACCATCTAGTACAGTAGAGATGACCTTGGCAATCCTGTGTCAAATCAGGCATCAGACTGACAGTTTGCTGTTAGCTTAGAGAGAACAACAATATTTGACTGACTTTTACTACTACACTTCTACTCACATCAAATCAAAACTAAAAATCTACAGTAACACTGCATCCGGATGCACCGACATGCTTATACTTCTTGGTGTGAAGTTTAAGACTGAATAGAAATCAACACAACAACCACTATCTGTTCTATTAAAAGTGCAGCTTGATGCACTAAGTCCACAAATGCCTTCATGATCAGACTGCACAGGACACAATGCTGTCATGATATATTCCATGCATTTACGCTACATACAGAAGAAAATCCTGAGGGAAGAGTATTTTTCTCTTCAAGTTATGTATGTCTTACCAACATGCAATYTGAACATGAATATTAGTAAAATAAACTACCAACAAAAATAACACTGAATGCATGATTATTGGGAGTTACAAGAAACTTCAATGAACCAGAAACATGCATCCTGAAGGAATGAAATGTTTTCACTTAACTAAGGTGTTAGCTAATTATAAAGAATATATGCACAAGTCTGAACACTCCACAGACCAAAGAGAGTGCAAAGACAGAGTAAGAGCTACCTTTTGAGACTTTGTACCAAAAGACAAAAATGAGATGGCTTCTTTTTAGCATTCTCTAAAATGCTAAAAATTATAAATCTAAAATTATTTAGATTTATATTATAGCCAATAATGTTGTTGTCTAACAGTTTAAACAAAACTTTTACTAATAAAGCAAGGATGAATTATTATGCATCCTTATTATTTTAACACTTAAGAGGAGATCAAACTTAACTTTCCTTGCAAGCCTAACAAAGCTTTCTATTCCTACGGAAGGCAATTTAAACAAGCTGCTTTCAAAGATACTGCTTCTTTCAAACAATCAACAGTACACTAAACAAAAGACTTAATAAAATTTTATTCTAAATTCTTCATGAGCAAGAGTGCATATCTGTAAATAATTACTACCTAGAATGAAATTCTGTGAAAAGTAACAGAACAGCATTTGCCTGTAACTTAAGTCCTTTCACTTGAAATCACAAAGCTAAGTACAATGTGTTATTATGTACTGTTCTGCATAATTTTATATTTCACTGTTCAAGGGTCAAAAAATGATTTTATGACAACACTCAGAGGCTTAAAAAAAACACTTCAAAATTATAAAGTGTTTATAATGCAACAGATTTAGCTGAATTAATGTCACATTCGCAGAAGAACATTTGTAGCATACRGTACTCCAATCCAACTGTTCTGTTAGTGCTACCAGTAAAAAATAATCTGAAAAACGTCATTTAATGGTACCATAAGCTACCAGTATGTCTTGTGTTTAAGAGTTTGAATATAAAAATATTTAAACGGACTAAAGAAGAAAAGGAGTCTTTATGGACAAACCAGTTGACAAAGTTATTATTGACAGAAAGAAGAGAAAAATAAGAGCAACTAGATATGAAAGGAACAAAAGAAATCCTACCTCTAAACTGACTGACTATAACAACACTATAAAAAAAAAAAAAAAAGATGAGAAAGTGGAAAAAATGAGAGCACAACATACTGCAATCATGGTAATAAAAAAGTCAGCATGGCTGTTAAAATACGTCTGGTAGGATCACAGTAGTTATCAACAAAATTTCTCTTCAGTTTCTACAAAAAAACACTCTCCATTTTTAACCCATTTTCCTCTGAAAACACAAAAAGGAATAAGCAAGATTCTGCTATATAGTATTTCTCAGCAATTTTGTAGGAGGAAGAAAATCTCCTTTTGTTGTTTCAAAATCTGTTGTTCTGCAAAATTATATTCTATACATTTCATTAAAAATTTTTTCAAAGCTTACTTCRCTCTCATCCAGAAAATACCACATATGAGGCTTCCAACTTGTCCCTTGACTGACAGTTCAACATAATAGCATTAAAAGACTTTCAGCTTATTTAAGATACTGATAAAGGGTGCATGACATAAACAAAGTACTTAAATAAGATCTGATTATTTTCATCAAGACCCACAATTTAGTATGATGTTTCTAACCATGAGCTRAAATCAAAATTATTGCTCAGTACTTTCAGGGAGACTAGCGCTGTATGTCAGGAAAAAGAAATATCATCCCATCTTATTACCCATAGTTTTTGTCCTTTTTCTCTTGTGTTTTGCTCCCTGTCTTAGCTGTGTTTCTTACCAGTTTCTTACTGCGCGAGATTCTCTCAGGCAATGGTTTTTATTCCTCAGTCCAACCTTGCTTCATCTGTTGGAATGATCGTTAATAAAATAGTCACAGTTAGCATCATCATTTAGAATAAAGCTTCAGAGCTATTAACATACTAGCTGTATACATGAAGCCATCATCTCAGATGGTCTGGAGACACAAGGCAGCATTAATAAACTTCTTTTTTTTCATATATACTTTTCTTTGTACCTGGAATGCTTACATATTTTGTTTAAATGAATGCTGGATCTTTCAAGAATATTGGGACACGCTCTTCTCCTTCCTAATTCTCTCCTCCAAACATCACTTTCCATATAAAATGTAACTTAACTGTTAAGTTAACTTTAAGTTTTAATATTGCCTTTTTGCTGACAAGCTATGGGATGAATGTGATCATGGGAAAGAAAAGCTATGAAACAAGTGCAACTCCTGATTTTACATTTTGTTAAATGTTCTCTATGCTTTGCAATATACTAGTTAGTACCTTTGTATTGTCTATACTACTAAATTAGATTGCTGTTGTTACATATCAAATATATTATGTCATTCACAGATCTAGAAAACAGTCTAAATTATATTCTAGTCCTCGAATTGCAAGTCTTGAGAAGTCTGGATCCTCCTGAAACCTTGCTTGTTTCTCATACTGTGTTATACGAGCCCTGCTTGTATGATCTTTTGCAGTACATACTGAAACAGCAACTAGGACAATAGCAAAGAGCTCCTTGCAGGGAACAGTGCAGCCAGCACTATAACCTACATTTGTCACAGGTGTGCACTAAACATGTCTACCTGTAACAACAACAACTATGGCTGCAAAGTAGAGTTCACAAAGCCAAAAAAATGTCAAGGAAACTTAATCTTGTTTCTCAATGATTTCACAAAGATCTTATTTATATCATTACAGTCCAGCCCCAGATGCACTCCCTACAAATAGCAACTAGCAACTATAGCAGAGGTAATAGAACACCACAGCCTAATCTGAGCACTCTCACATGTCTGAGCATTTACACGTGTCAAATTAGGAAATCCATTCACTTACACTGATTTGAGATCTACTTTACATCTCAGTAGGATAAAAATTAGTAAATGGTACAATTCTACAATTTCCTCACAGAAGAAGACTTAACAACAAAGTTGCTTTCAGACTATTTTCACATTTTTAAAACAATTTTACATTTATATGCATTTTTTTCTATTTTTAAGGCAACAAAGCCAGTGTAATTGCAAATTACTCCAATGCACTGCATTGCCAAATAAAACAGTTATACAAGAAAAAGGGGAAAATCATATATAAACATTCTTTTTCAATGACCAATGACTATATGACACTTTCACTCTACTACCATTTAAAACAATTATATTTTAAGTAATAGATAGCTTTTCATCTTAAAAATTGGACTACATAGAATTATAGAAATGAATGCATTTTGCTTATCAGGATGTGATGTTTATCCTCACTGACCTTTCTATTATAGCATGAACTCCAACATCATTTAAGCTGACCCTGTAAGACTGGACAATGTTTTTCTTTTATCTACACAGGCCCCACTTTACACTTGCCCATTCCCTTTAAATATTTGGCTGTCCAGAGGAGAAAGACTAAGCAATAAGACTGTAAAAAGAATCTAAACACTGYAAATGATTATGCATGTCTGCACTTTGCACTCATTTTCTGAAACTGACCAGTACTATATGGTGAAAAAGCATTTATATGCCTCTAAGAAGACAGATAGCAGAGAGAAATCAAAAACAACAAAAAAAAGCCTCTGCTTTTGAGCTCAAGAGGTTCTGTGCACGTGATGAGTTTTGTACAACGCATTCAATATCAAGCACTAACTTTAAAAAACATCACTGCAGACTTCAAACTTAAAGTGYTCTGGGAAAGAATAGGGTAATCAAACCGTAACAGAGAGAGAAGAGATGAAGTTGGAGTTTAGAGTTTTCTGGTGAGAAAGGGCCTAAATGAAAGCTCATCTGTCTGCAGAGAGCTGGTAGAAGCTGGTTAGAAGATGAAACTGGAGAGACTAATAAATAAGAACTAGTGAATTCATGGGGAAAAAAAAGAAGATGAGAAAAGAGTGTACTATTTTAAGTGGTAAAATGAGAAAATGAGCTATCAAAAAATATACAGAAGTGGCACTGGTAAGAAGTCTAGCAAGTTGAGTAAGGCTTTATTTTTCTATCTAGCCTAACAAAAACAAAGTGGATTATGTATAACTTAATGAACTAAACTAAGTAAGTTGGCAATATAACAAGTGACTAATATATGCAAAATGATCTTTTATTTTGCAGAACATTTTGGGTCACAGTTCACATGCATGCCAATGGGCATACAAGTTTTCAGATGAGAAAATGTCACTAGTTAAAAGGTTGAAGACTTATAGGGGCCTGCATCCAATAAAGAGTTGAAATTCAGTTCTTGTACTCAAAAGCAACCCCAAAAGTATGCTCTCTCCATACGGTCTTTTCCATAAATCCAATACACATTTATTAAGTAAGCAAGAATCAAAATTGGAGTACTATTATTAGCCAAATAACTGCAAAGTGCAGTAGAACAGGTCTGCACTGGCCTGTTCTTCAACTAAGTGAAGTTATTTAACATCGTCCTCAAGCACCACTGCACATTTAGTCACCATGACATCTGAAGATAAGAAAAGGGTTACCAATCCACAGTCCTTACATATCCACCATACATGGGTCATCCGCAAACCAGAAGGATTCAAAAGATTTCATTTTTGCCCATACCCAACTGAGCTATTTTTGGATCATCCTCACTTTAATGCCACACAGGTCTCTGTATTTAGTAATCACAAAATGGTTGAGTTTGGAAAGGACCTCTAGCCAAGCCCCGTGCTCCAGCAGGGACACCTGGAGCACACTGCACAAGGCATCCAGGTGGGTTGGGAAGATCTCCAGAGAAGGAGGCTCCACAGCCTCCCTGGGCAGCCTGTTCCAGCGCTCATGCTGCTGGCAACACTCCTCCTGCTGAAGCCAGGATCCCATTGGCCTTCTTGGCCACAAGAGCACCCTGCTGGCTCATGGTTAACTAGTTGTCAATCCAAACTCCCAGATCCCTCTATACAGAGCTCCYTTCCAGCAGCTCATCCCCTAATCTGTCTTGGTGTCCGGGGTTATTTCTTCCCAAATTCAGGGCCCTGCACTTGTCCTTGTTGAACCTCATGAGRTTCCTGTCTGCTMAACTCCAGCCTGTCCAGGTCCCTCTGGATGGCAGTGCAGCCCTCTGGAGTGTTGCCCACTCCAGCTAGTTTGGTACCATCYGCAAACTTGCTCAGGGTGACTCTGTGCCCTTGTCCAAGTCACTGATGAACAAGTTGATCAGCACTGGTCCCTGTACTGATCCCTGGGGGACACCACTGGTCACAGACCTTGTGTGTGTAATGTTTTGGTTAAATGGTTAAATCCTAGTAGGGACTGCTGACCCATTTGCTTGTGGATTTGTGTGAAGAGGGAGTAAGAAAGCAATCATTATTTCAATTTCTTTGCTTCTAGTATTCACTACTGAGAGAGGACGGCCTGCCTTCTTGATTTTAAGTTCTACTCTAATGCATCATGTCTTTCTATGAATAAGAATGTCAGCAAGTTAAATTATATGCAGCACAGTGTGATTAAGAAAATGAATTGCACTAAAGGTTACAGATCAATGGTTGAACTACTGATTCATGGGAGCACTCATTCCATTGGCTTTCACAGGAAATTAAGGGTGCGGCTTCCTCACCAGTTTAAGCTGATCTCTGRCTGCTGTGAGAAGCACCAATCACTCCCCTGCCATGGGCTCTCACTGCTCCTCCTGCACTGATTAACAGCTGCCTGGCAGCACGGTGCCACACTGACRTACTGCAATGCACCAGCAATTTACTGCAGCGCACCAACACGCCACAGCTGTGACACATGTAAGGAGGGATCACACCTTTGACCACAGCACTGAGTTTGAAGAGCTCTGGCTAAGGGGGAAACGGACAAGTCAGGAAAGAGTGGTAAGAATAGGAACAGTTCTACCTTTTTACCTGCACAACTCTATACATARGAGTATCAAACACGCCTCTTACTCTAATGCAAAATTTATTTTCACAGTACACTTGCTGAAACAGTGSGGGGGAAAGGGAGCACACCTCTTTCAAATATCTCTGTAAATGTTTGGGGCACAAAATGCAATTCGAAGTAGAAAACAGTGGTGAAAAACTGAAAGCAGAAAAAACGAAAGCAAGAGTGCAGTTCTGTACAACAGAATATTGACTGAATATAAAAGAAAGAAATAAGAAAGGTACCTTGAAACAAACTGTCAGAATCGCGACCTGTGGAAGAAAAGGGRAAAAAAAGATTTAAACACACGAGTATTTATCACTTATCACCTCTAGAAGTGCTTCAGTTCACACAGCAGTCTCAATTTCTCAATAAACACTTCCTCATAAGACTCAGCACGCATAAATAGCATCTCCTCCCACAGGATATCTTAGCACATTTGTCTTTCTTGACTATAAACCAGTACCACAACCAACCACTGATAACTAGTAAGGAAGTAACAGAAGTGACTTGTAGTTTGTTATTTCTGAATTTTGGACAAAATCAGAAGATTCCCATTTCTGATAACACTGGATGCTATTAGTKAGGAAATGCTTTTCAGAAAAGTTAGAAAAGTTTGTTCTGGGAACAACTCATAAGGAGGGATGCTCAAGCAAGGTCACAGGCTTAAATTCTTTCTGGACTTGCAATGGTTATTTTTCAAAGTCACATAAATCACAGCGGGTTAGAAACAGATACCAATCAAGGAACTATATGTAGAAAGCTGGGCTACATAACACAAATCCAGAAGAGAATTATAAGACAGAGACCTAAGTGCAAGTGATTAGGGTATTCYTAAGAGACATAGTCTTGTCACAGCTGAAAATTTAATCTGGTAATGGGATGGATGAATTTAACTTTGAAATAGAAGTTAAGCTACTATTTGGCTACCAAGTTTTTACTCTTGAATTTTGTCTTCTTACTGACAATAACTCTCTAACATCAGCTAAATAAAGAAGAAATACATATTTGGTGTGTGTTTGTCAATCAACAGAAAATTGTAGTTCATACTATTAGCAATTTATATCAGCCTAATCGGTTTAATTTGAACCAAAGGTCTTCATTATTGAGTGTCACAGGAGGAACTTAGCAACTCARAGCATACTCAGAGATGCAGTACCCCCCAAAACCTTCTTCTTCATTACAGAGACACAAAAGCTCTACTAAGGAAGACTTTTTTTGAAATATATCAGTCACACTAACTTCTGACTTGCCTTTAGTTTCCGCCTGTCAGCCAAGTTTATGATGAGGGCTCTAKTTTTTTTAGTTTTTTTCTCACATTTACACAATTCAAGCACAGTGCACGCTTTGCATTTCCTGTTTGTACTGCACACTGCAGGGCTGTCACCCACCTTTAGTCATCCTTAGCACTAATACTCAGGGCCCTGCACCAAMAAATGCCCTCTCCTCTTCCCCCCTCTCCTCTCTCAAATAGTAAAAACTAAGTTAGATAAATGAAGAGATTGCACAAGAAAGTCATTGTACAAATTGAACGATTTGCAAGTACAAATCTGAAAGCTGGGAAGACTACAGGACCCACATATTAGAAAAACAAAAATATATCCTCAAAAGGTTTCAATTAAAAAAAGAAAAATGAGTCCCTCTTAAGCACACTTCATAATTAAAAKGAGCTTTAGCCCAATGTCCACTTCCTTATGTCTCTTTTGAAGGTTTCTTGAAGCGTCCTTTCAAGGCAAATACGGCACACACGCGCGTATATATTCACTGTATGAGAAGGATCCCTCCCATTTCTAAGAGAGGCTCCTGCAAGGAGACACTTCCCAGCGCGGCGCTCTTTTCCTTTCCTCAGCACTTCCACAGCAGCGCCCTGGCCCATCAGCCTCGCCAGCAGCCGCGAGAGCTCCCCGGAAAGTTTGCGCTGCTGTGAGTCATGGGGGGAAAGAAGAAAGGAAAAAAAAAAAARAAARRAARRAAAAARGRRRRAAAAAAAAGGAGAAAAAAAATAAAAAAGCAGCAGTGCGAGAAGCCCCGGGAGCCGGAGCGGCGGCGCGCGGAGCAGGAAGGGCCTCTCGGCCGCGGCCGCTGCCCTCGCCGGCCGGACGGCGAGAGCGGCACCGAGCGGCCAGAGCGGGCGTCTGGCCAGCGCGGGGAGACAAGAAAATCAGAAATAAAGCTTACTGGTAGGAAAGGAAAAGAAAGGAATCGGAGATGAAACAAGCTATCACCAGCGATCAGACTTTTTGCTCCAGGAGCGCGCGGCCGCTGCTGCCCGGGAGCSGCCGTCCCGCCCGCGCCGCCGCAGCCGTTGCCGTTGCCGTTGCAGTGGCCGTTACCGTTACCGTTGCCGTTGCTGCCGCCGCTGCGGCCGCGCCGCGCAGAGCCGCCCGCCGCGAGCACCTGGCGGGGCAGCCCGCGCCG